TTGATTCTCCTCAGGACTTTGAACGGCCCCACAAACCGCGGGCTCAGCTTCCGGCAGGGCAGGCGGAGGGGCAGATTCCGGGTCGAGAGCCAGACCCGATCACCCGGTACAAAGACCTGGGCCTCACTGCGGTGGCGGTCAGCGTTAGGCTTCTGACGACGTACAGCGCGCTGGAGATGGACGTGGGCAGCGTCCCACGTCTCCTACGCGCGCCAAAACCAGTCATCCACCACAGGAGCCTCGGCCTGGCTCTAGTGCCACGGTGCCAGAACCGGTTGGTAACCTAAAACACATTGGAATGGCGTTAGGTTAGTGGCGGAGTGACGGAGAGAGTTCTGGGCATATTTTGCCCATGGCAAGAACACTGACCACACCCCCAGCCAGTCCTGGCAGTAAGACTGCAGGAACCTACCCTCATCCTGTTTTACCCATTCCACCTGCCCATTAGAGTCGGGGTGGAAACCAGAGGTGAGGCTGACCGAGACCCCCAGACGTTCCATGAACGCCTTCCAGACCTTGGATGTGAACTGGGGACCCCGGTCAGACACTATATCCTCTGGTACACCGTAGTGCCGGAATACGTGTGTAAACAGGGCCTCCGCAGTTTGCAGGGCCGTGGGGAGACCGGGCAGAGGAAGGAGGCGGCAGGCCTTGGAAAAGCGGTCCACAACAACCAGGATGGTGGTGTTACCTTGGGAGAGGGGAAGATCGGTAAGGAAATCAACCCTCAGGTGAGACCATGGTCGTTGTGGAACTGGTAAAGGTTGTAACTTACCCGCTGGGAGGTGCCTAGATGCCTTTCTCTGGGTGCACACCGAGCAGGAGGAGACATACACCCTCACGTCCTTAGACAAGGTAGGCCACCAGTACTTTCCGGTCAGGCAGCGCACTGTACGACCGATACCTGGGTGACCAGAGGAGGGTGACGTGTGTGCCCAGTAGATCAGACGGTCATGGATAAGAGCAGGAACCTACTGCAGCCCAGCTGGACACATTTACATTTACATTTAAGTCATTTAGCAGACGCTCTTATCCACTGAGGTGGAGATGGCTCTGTGCGTAACGCCTGCTCTATATCCGTGTCCATCGCCCATAGTACCAGCGCCACAATGCAGGAGGCCGGGAGTATGGGGGTGTTGTCTCTGGGCCTCTCCTCTGTGTCATACAGCCATGACAATGTGTCTGCCTTCACGTTCTTCGTACCCGGGATGTATGATAGTGTGAAATCAAACCGGGTGAAGAATAGGGCCCACCGGCCTGGCGAGGATTCAGCCTCCTCGCTGCCCGGATGTACTCCAGGTTACGGTGGCCCGTCCAGACGAGAAAAGGGTGTTTCGCCCCTTCGAGCGAATGCCTCCACACGGTCAGGGCTCGGACAACAGCCAACAGATCCCGATCACCAACGTCGTAGTTCTGTTCTGCCGGGCTGAGCTTCTTAGAGAAGAAGGCACAGGGGCGGAGCTTGGGTGGCGTGCCCGAGCGTTGAGATAGGACAGCGCCTATCCCTACCTCGGACGCAACCATCTCTATTATGAACGGTAGTGATGGATCGGGGTGGGCCAGTACCGGGGCTGAGGTGAACAGACCCCTCAGGTTACTGAAGGCCCTGTCCGCCTCAGCAGACCAGCAGAGCCGGGACGGCGCACCCTTCAACAGAGATGTAATGGGATCTGCGACCTTGCCAAAGCCCCAGATAAACCTCCGATAGTAGTTGGCGAAGCCAATAAAGCGCTGCACCTCCTTAACCGTGTTTGGAGTTGGCCAATTACGCACGGCTGAAATGCGATCTCCCTCCATCTCTACACCGGAGTTGATAATGCGGTATCCGAGGAAGGAGACGGACTGCTGGAAAAACCGACACTTTTCTGCCTTTGCATAAAGGTCATTTTCCAACAGTCGGGCCAGCACTTTACGAACCAGGGACACATGCTCGGCGCGCGTAGTGGAATACACCAGAATGTCATCGATGTAGACCACTACACCGCGACCAAGCATGTCCCGAAACACCTTGTTCACTGGACTGGAAGACGGATGGAGCATTCATCAAACCGTAGGGCATCACCAGGTATTCATAATGCCCCGTGGTTGTGCTGAATGCTGTCTTCCACTCATCCCCCTCTTGGACACACACCAGGTTGTACACACTCCGGAGATCTAATTTGGTGAAGAAACGTGCCCCATGCATTGACTCGATCACTGAAGGAATGAGGGGGAGAGGATAACTAAATCATATCGTCTCCTTGTTCAGTGATCGATAATCAATGCAAGGGCGCAGACCGCCGTCTTTCTTCTTCACAAAAAAGAAACTCGAGGAGGCGGGAGAAGTGGAGAGACATATATACCCCTGGCACAGGGACTCGGTGACGTATGTCTCCATAGCCTCCGTTTCAGCCTGTGACAGGGGACACACATGATTACTGGGAGGCACAGCGTCTACCCGGAGGTTTAAAGCGCAATCCCCCGCCCGATGAGGTGGTAACTTGGTCGCCTGCGTTTTGGAAAACGCGTGCGCCAAATCGAAGTATTCGGGGGGAATGCGCACGGTGGAGGTACTGTCTGGACTTTCCACCGTGGTTGCACCAACGGAAACACAGACACCTACCCTGACACTCTCGCGACCACCCCGTGAGAACCCTCTGCGGCCATGAGAATGTGGGGTTGTGGAGTGCTAACCAAGGGATACCTAGTACCACAGGGAAAGCAGGAGACTCAATGATAAAAAATGTGACTTGCTCGCAATGAGTCTCGTGGGTAACCATGGTGATTGGTGCGGTAACTTCCCTAACAAACCCGGACCCTAATGGTCAACTGTCAAGTGCTCTGATGGGGAGTGGAATGGATAGGGGAACCAATGAAATGCCTAGACTGTGTGAGAATGCCCTGCGCCTGAATCGACTAGCGCCTTACACTGGGGAACTACAATGTGATCAGGAAAGTGGATGGGTAGGGTACAGTGCACATCAGAGGGCTCTGAACAAGTGTGGGTGTTCGATACCTGGGGTGATGTGAGAGTGCCCTGCCTGCCGCCTCCAGACCCAAAATAACGCTGACGACATTGTGCGGTGTAATGTCCCTTCGTGCCACCAGAGTGTCACTGGCGCTGTCGTCCTCCGCTCTCTCGCGGCTCCACCCAGCTCCATCAGCTCGTGATCCGAGTTGGCCGGGGTTGGAACGGGCAGACCCCCTCCAGGATGTCCTCTGGCCACCAGCAGGTTGTCCAAACAGATGGCCATGTCCACCAGTTGCGTGAAGGACAACATGGTGTCCCGGCAGGCTAGCTCCCTTCGGACGTCCTCCCGCAGATGGCACCGGAAGTGGTCGATAAGGGCCTGCTCGTTCCACCCGGACCCAACTGCTAGAGTCCGAAACTCCAAGGCGAAGTCCTGCGCAGTCCTCGTCCCCTGCCTCAGGTGGACCAGCCACTCGCCCGCCTCTCGACCTTCGGGCGGGTGATCGAAGACAGCCCGAAAGAGGCGAGCGAACTCCCCGTAGTTGTCCAATGCGGCTCCTCCTTCATTCCAGACCGCATTGGCCCACTCCAGGGCTTTCCCCGAGAGGCAGGAGACGAGGGCGTACACCTTCTCCCGCTCCGATGGGGCCGGCCTGATGCTGGAGAAGTAGAGCTCCAGTTGGAGGAGGAATCCCTGGCAGAGAGCAGCTGTCCCGTCGAACTCCCGTGGTCGGGATATATGGATCCCTCTGGGTGCTGGGGTGTAGGTGGCTGGATCCGGTTGCCCAGCTGGTCTCGACAGATCGGGTCCTCTCCTCTCCAGGCGTTGGGACGACCTGGAGAACCCAATCGATTGCTTCTCCCAAGCTGGCTAGCATTGTTGAGTGCTCCTGGACCCGTGCCACGACTCCAGGCATGCACTCCTCTCCTGCTGACTCCATAGTGGGTGGGTGATTCTGGGATGCGTGATTTGAAGGAGTCAGGCGCAGGAGGGTAAATCACAGTATACAGAGTTTATTCCGTAATCCAGCATAACCAGTCCAGTGCGCAAAACAGGCGCACTGGAACAAACATGCACACGGGGAAAATACCCCGGCAATACAAAATACTGAGCTCAACCGAGCTACTAATCCTCACAATTAACAATCACACACAAGGACAAGGGGGCAGAGGGAACACTTAAACACGTACTAATGAGGGGAATATGAACCAGGTGTGTGTAATTGAAAAGACAAGACAAAATGGAATGATGAGATATGGAGCGGCAGTGGCTAGAAAGCCGGTGACGACGAATGCCGAAGCCTGCTCGAACAAGGAGGGGAGGCAGCTTCGGAGGAAGTCGTGACACCAGGTTAAACAATGTAATGGCAATGCTACCAAATACTAATTGAGTGTATGTAAACTTCTGACCCACTGGGAATGTGATGAAAGAAATAAAAGCTGAAATAAATCATTCTCTCTACTATTATTCTGACATTTCACATTCTTAAAATAAAGTGGAGATCCTAACTGACCTAAGACAGGGAATTTTTACTAGGTTTAAATGTCAGGAATTGTGAAAAACTGAGTTTACATACACCTTAGCCAAATACATTTAAACTTCCGACTTCAACTGTCCATGCATTGGTATGTCTAACATATTAACTTAGATAGTAACTGACAGTTGTTTATCGGTTGAATGCAACTAATGCAATGCTGTGTGATTTCCCTAGGCCCAAGTTTGTGTCTTTGATAATCAGACCATCAACTTATTTTTAGTCATAACATATTAAAACAAGTGCTCAAATTAGTTGTCACTGATGTATTTGAAGTAGAATATGTCATGATTTGGCCCAGAGCCTGCTAAAAGAACAACAACACACTTGAGGCCCGGAGGGAGGCAGTCTGACATTCTGAAGTTATGGATGAAAGGTTGGAGATAAAGGCTGACTCTCTCTTTAACTCCCTCTCTCTTCCCGTTTTTTTCCCCCTCCCCCTCTAACTTTCTCTCCACTCTCTCTGTCTTCCTTATTCTCTCTCTCTTCCTTCTCTTTCCTTCGTTCCAGACACCATGACTAGCGGCTCAGGCCTGGGCACAGGGGCCATCGTGGGGATCCTCATCGTGGTCTTTGTGCTGCTGCTGGTGGGTGTCGACGTGACCTGCTACTTCCTCAACAAGTGTGGCTTCCTCATGTGCATTGCCGTAAATTTTTGCGGCAAGTCTGGACCTGGAGCAAAGAACAAGGACATCGAGGAGGGCAAGGCGGCATTCATGTGAGTCTCTCTTCTTCTCTGCTCCCTGGCTCCCTGGCTCCCTTGCTTTTCTCTCTGAAATGCTGTATGCACTTTGAGCAGTAGCTACTCCCAGACACTAGACCACAGTTTGGCAGTGCAGAATTGCAGAGTGTTTTTAACCAAAACGACTCACTACAGTATACTTGTACTGCACCAGCATTTATTCAAAACACTTTTTCCCCTTACAGGAAGGACGAGTCAAAGGAGCCCATCGTGGAGGTGAGGACAGAGGACCGCACCCCTAACCATGAGGGGGGGGGACCCACAGAGCCCAACGAGACCACGCCTCTTACAGAGCCAGAGTGAGTACTCCAGCACTGGCTGTGGGTAGACCCACTGCACTAGGGTTGCCTTACACTGGCAAACCCATACTAATCGTGTAATATGTCTATGCATAAGACATACTTCTTATTCCATAATGACAGCAGTTGAGCGTTTTGATCATGTGTTTGCTGACATATTGGCTAAACGAATTGATAAAAGAATGGGAGAATGGAATATCAAAACCAGATACTGAAGATGTGCCCTGATGTTTGTTGTTTACGCTGATGGTAACAAACATAGCTAGTTGTTGCACGTACCAGCCTTAAACACTTAATAACCTAGACCCTAAACTGATTTTGGTTTAATTTGCTTTAGTTTGCTTAAGATGCACTTTAACGTTTTGAATCTCTAGTTCTTTGCTTTATCACTGCATGTAGCACTCACTCTGGATGTGTGTTTGTACCTTGGTCTCCCCTCCCTACCCCTCCCTGCTCTCTCTCTTTCCTCTCTCACCCTCTCGCTGCTCGATGGCTCGTCTCTTTCCTGTTCTCCTCCTCTCCTCACAGACCCACTGCTGACACTACTGCCACGGTGGTGGACTTGCTACCCTCTATCGCCACTAACTCTGACCCCGTCACTGAGAGCTTTAGCACAGCTCAGAACAGCCCAGCTAGCGAGAGTACCACCCTCACTTCCAGCACAGCTGCCCCAACCCTTGCCCCGACCGAGGCCAAAACTGCCCCCAAAGCCTACCCTAAAAGCACCCCTGCCCCCATCCCCCAGTCCAGCACGCCCAAAGCTAGCGCCCCCGCCCCTCAGCCTGCAGCCCAATCTGACGTGGCTCCCCTCGTCGACCTAAGCGAGGCTCCTAAAGCCACGCCCTTGTCCGACCCCAAGCCCGCCACCCCCGCAGCCCCTTCCTTAGAGCCAGCCAAGGCCCCCTCCAACCTCTCCTCTGCCAAAGCCGATGCCGCTCCACAGAGCCAGCCCGAGCCCGTCCAAAGCACCCCTGCCAGCGACAGTCAGAATAAGGACTTACAGATAGACAGCCTGGCCAAGGATGTGTTTGATGCCCTGAGCAAAAGCTCCAAGGCCCCAGCAGACTCCACTGCTGCTCCCGCACCGGCCAAGGACGAGTATGACCTCCTCCCTTCCTCTTAGTCTGTTTTATTATGTGTATGTTTTCGCTCACCCACCTCCACCACCACCCTCCACCACCACCACCTACTGTATCCTCTGTCTGTTCTCATAGTTTTGGGCAACCTCCCTTTCTGTTACACTCTCACTCACTCTTTTTCTCTCAATCACTACACTACTGCTGCAGCCATTCAATTAGCTACATCGCCACGGGTGACACCTAAAGCTTTAAATAGAAATGGCTGTGATAGGAGAAAACAACTCAGGATGGATCAATAACATTGTAGTTACTCCACAATACTAACCTATTTGACAGAGTGAACAGAAGGAAGCCTGTAAAATATACATATATTCCAAAACATGCATCCTGTTTGCAACAAGACACTAAAGTAATACTGCAAAACATGTGGCAAAGCAATTCACTTTTTTGTCCTGAATACAAAGTGTTATGTGTGGAGCAAATCCAATACAACACATTACTGGATACCACTCTCCATATTTTTAAGCATAGTGGTGGCTGCATCATCTTATGGGTATTGTTGTAATCGTTAAGGACTGGGACGTTTTTCAGGATAAGAAATAAACGATATGGAGCTAAGAACAGGCAAAGTCCTAGAGGAAAACCTGGTTCAGTCTGCTTTCCACCAGACACTGGGAGATGAATTCACCTTTCAGCAGGACTATAACCTAAAGCACAAGGCCAAATCTACACTGGAGTTGCTTACCAAGAAGTGAATGTTCCTGAGTGGCCGAGTTACAGTTTTGACTTAAATCTACTTGAAAATGGTTGTCTAGCAATGATCAACAACCAATTTGACAGAGCTTGTGGAATGCTCTTAGAGACTTACCCAGAAAGACTCACAGCTGTAATTGCTGCAAAAGGTGCTTCTACAAAGTATTGACTCAGCAGTGTGATATTTCTGTATTTCATTTTCAATAAATTTGCAAAAATTTCTAAAAACATGTTTTCACTTTGTCATTATGGGGTATTGTGTGTAGATGGGTGAGAAATAAAAAATCTATTTAATCGATTTTGTTATTCAGGCTGTAACACAGCAAAATGTGGAATACGTCAAAGGGTATGAATACTTTCTGAAGGCACTGTATGATAATTGTTCATGAAGTAGTTTGGATGTAAAACTATGTTTTCCTTAAGAGTAGCTTTAGTGTAGCTTAACATCTTCCAGTGTGAAGTAATTGGTAGCTTTGTAAACTATATTTTGAGAGTAGCTTCCCCAACACTGACGCCGGCCTCTTTAGTACCCAGGGCTTGTACCCCACCGAACTTGTCTGCAAACAGAGATGTCCGCGGGGCGTAAACTCTTTTGTTTCTTCCTCCCCCTTCTCTTTTTCTTGCTCAGCGGTTTGTTCGCCCCCCATTCTCACTTCGCTGCCTTTGAGTATTGGGGCTCCCGCTTCGTTGACTGCCACTGTCAGCTCTGAGCACCGGGCACCATGGGAAGGGTCCTTGTGCGAACTGCTTTATCCAGTACAGAAAGCGAACAGAGCCTCTCCACCCTCCCATCTTGGAATGGAGGACCGTTTTTATTTTACCTAGGCAGAAGGAAATTTCAGGACTACAGGCTGACTTGGCTCCCCACTGCATGCGCGCGCACACAAACAAAACGCAAACACACACACACACACACACACACACACACACACAGCTCTCCCCTCCAGCTGACATGTAGCTACAGTGCAGCTGGCAGGTGTAACTGTACATCTGCATCTGGGTGCTAAAACAAACCAGCAACTACTCTGTTTTCATCCATTATATCATCATGTTGGACAGATAGATCCTATCTTCCCTGGCTTCCACTATTACCCACACCAGGGTTCCAATAGCAACAGGGGCAGAGTTCACCATTATTAGTGAGACTTATGGTGTTGCATGTGGAATAAGTTGACTAATTTTTCCCTCTTACTCTCCTGCTAGTCCAGACCAGCCTAGCCTAGTTTCCCCTGCCCGGGCTAAGCCCAGGCTGCTTAACAGACCCTATTATCAATGGTCAGTTTGTCCTCCAGGCGATAACAACGCCACACTTTAATAGCCATCCAAGGCTGTTACCCTAATTAGCTACATTTACAGTATGCCACCTTAGCAGGATTCGTGGAGAAAAGTATTTCATGCTCCCAGTTTGTTATCTGCATTGTCTAGCAGCTAATTAGCCCAACTTACCATTTGCTTGGGTGGTCCTGTCATGACGGTATGCTGAGCTGTTGTTGTTGTGTTCCTACGGCAACTTTCGTTTTTCCCCTGTTCCTGTGCTACTCTTTGCTGCCAAGGTCAGCCAGTACTGAGATAAATGACCCTGTGACTTTTTCCCCCGTCAGCCAACCTGGTCATTTTATCAGGACGCTACTCTGACAAATTCAACCGCAAGGCGATACAGCACCAGACCTCTGACAGAGAACGCAACCCTGAGGTGACAAAATGTCCACCACAATAGTCCTGTCCTTGTCAGGTTGAAGGTGGCCTGCGGTTTTCCACTCTTTAACTGCGTGCTTTGGCTCTGACACCGCCAAAGAGGAGAGTGCCTTTTCACTGATGCTACTGATGCCCGCTGAGCCGCAAGGTGTTGCGTGGTGTTGTTGAACACACTGTGGCCAGTAGCAGCAGTCCTCCCAGAGAGGGTTATTGTGGACAAGGTAATGGAAGTCCTGACGCTGTCTTAATCAAACCCAAATCTCTGGGATCAGATACCTGTTGTGGAGTCTGGCTGACAGTAAGAGCCAGATCCCAGTGGACTCCAACAAAGCCCAGTCCACCAGGCGGATTGTGTAGATGGTGTAGATAGTTACGAAATACCTTTTCCACTTTGAGGCCGCCACAATGACCCACAATGCCTCTCTGTTGCTAATGGGGGAGACCGGAGAGACTCACTTCTTTATCAGCAATCAGTCACCCCACTTCCTTGTTTACTCTGTGACTTTTCCCCTATATACAGGGGCTTTTTATTAAGGGGGTTCATGGGAATAGTACCATACTACTCAGATAGCCTGGGAGTCCTCAGGTTATTTATTTAAAAAAAATGTATTATTATTTTTTTAGGGGGTAGATCAGCTTTAATATTGCAGATAGATTGTAACCTCCATCTTAGTTATCTTGTTGTTATTAGTTGTTGTTATTAGTCCCATCCTTCAGCTCCATTCAACACCTCCCATCTATCTCTTAACACCATCCATATTGGATTTCTATTTGCCATATATTTTTCAACTGTACTGTGATGTTTCACAAAAGTTCTGAACCCTCAGGCTTAGTTATTACGAGAGAGAGGCCCAGGTGACAAGTAAAATCCTCACTATCTAGCCCATAGCTGTTATTCGTCACCTGAAGTGTTTGTTTGAAGAATATCGTTGAACATAAATGCGACAGTGGAAGAGGTTTATGAAAGCATAGGTCAACCGAGGCACACCGCACCAATTAAGACTCACGCTCTACGGCTTGACCCGTTTTGATCATTCATTAGCAGTTATGATTGGACTCACAGATACAGGATCGGAAGAGAGTATTTTCCCTTGACAGTCAATCAATACAAACTAACCCCTGACTAATCATAGGGTGAAAAGCAATTTGCTGTGAAGTGCACTAGACTGCTCTGTCACATCGGATGAGATACAAGTTCGACTCCATTTCATTGAATTATCAAAGTGCGATCTAAAGCCATTTGTGAAATTGCATGACTAGGCAAAAATGTCTGACCCTGTCACAAAGCTTTTGTACTTTACTGCACTTTTGGAGAGAATGAACTATAGTAATCAGTGCCATCATTTTGTTGCAGTCTCGAAGTGGATGTTCTGTAGTTCAGTCACTGACTTAATGTGGGATTCCTCTCCATTCTCTGTTCTACCCATTCATCATTCACTCCTCCTTCAATTCAGACCAACTGTATCTCCTCTCACAATTGTATTGATGTTCTGTTTCAGTGTGCCATTCCCTCATGTACTGTGTCTCTGTTCTCTCATTTCCCAAATCACCTTGCATTCTCCCATGAAACGTCTGTGGCTTCCGTGTGGCCGTCTTTGATGTCAGGATAGGATAGCAGAGCATATCCTGTTATGTGTGAAACACGTTTGGTTCCAGGGGATACAAATTCCCTCAAAAACCTCAAGCGTCTATTTTACCTCTTTTTTTAAGACAAAAGGCAGCATAGAACAGACAGTTGTGTGCTGCAAGAGATAGTGTATTCATCCCTTAAAGAATCTCTCTCTTCTCTGTGTGGTTCTCTCCAGCGGTAAGATTGTGACAGATGATAAAAGTAAAGCGCCAGCGATGGAGACAGAGGTGAAGAAAGCCCCAACCGAGGTGAAGACAGTCCCCAACGAAGCTGTGCAGACTAACGGCAACGAGAGCAAAGCATGATCCCGACCGCGAGAAGGGAGGAGGGGTCGGGGGAGGGTTCACCACAGTCCAGAGGAAAACGGCAAACACATCAAATGACAAAAGCTAAAAAAAAAAAAAAAAAAAGGGTATCTTTCTTCAGTGTCTTCTATTAGTTTGTTAGACATGTAGAGTAGGAATAAGACCTCATGCACATGCCTTAGTGTTTCTTTCTTTCTTTATCTGTTATTCCTTTTGTAATTTTCTCTCTTTGTTCACGGGAAGAAGGAAAATCCTTACCTCTAGTTCACTCTCCTTGTCCTCCTTTTGTATATAACATCAAAGTTACCAGTCTTTTAAACGGGACAGAAGCTAAATATCAGTCGGCATAGATAACCATGGGGGATTGTAGCTTTATTTCAGAACAATACCTTTACGATGTGCACACACATAAATCCAACACCTTACCCACACACTATTTCCAGTTATGTTCTCTTTATTATGCAGTATTGCCATCATTATTTCCACTGCTAATTATGGGTACGTTTTTAATGTTTGTCAGGTTTAAATAATGTGCAGAAGTAACTGCTTTTTATTGTATCTTTATTTTTCATGTATAATTTTCAAGAGATAGAGATAGAGCATTAGCATGTCTACTTTGCGGAAAAATATTTTCCCATATGTTCGTCTTTTTTTCTTGAAT